GACCGCACCGTTTTAACATAGCAGCAAATTATGTACAGCGCACTCGCACATCGAAAATGCAGAGCGTTGAGCTACTTTTTGTCTTGGTACTTTCTGCTAGTTGTAACTTTAAGTTCCAAAATGGATTCCTTCCAGATCCATAAGTTCCAAGTTAGCTGCTTTCGAGAAGCCAGCTCGGAATTCAAAAAGCAGAAAGGGGCCTACACTCATTTCCACATGTGGACATCATTTCGCGTCCTTTACCATACTCCTGATAGTCACCACAAGTCATACTTGTAGATGCTCTGAAGCGGATTTACTTAAATCGATACACTCAAAGTGTTCTATTCGTATACTGTCATAGCTGAGCTCAAAACCAGGAATAGCAGTCTCAGAATCATAGTGATCTTTATGCCAAGGTCGAAAAATCGCAAGTTCTAGATGTAGTGACAGCAAAAAAGCAGTTGGAAATGACGGAAATTCAGTACTCAATGTTTGTATGGTATCGTTACCAAGGTCAGTCCAAATCCCGGAGTCGGTTTCATCCTTACTAAGTTTTCTCCTCAACATCATTACTGAGAAGGGTGCTTTGCTGCCAGGATGTTCTTCACGATGCCGGTTTTAGGAAGCCGTTGCTCTCTGTACAGTACTCATTATAATATTATACTTGAACTTTCCACATTACTCCGACTACGAATGTGATCTAGAATTTGACTCGCAGACCCAGTAAGCTAAGGAGAAGTAAGAAGACTGCCACCAGAGCCGAGCTTACGTCACGGAGTCCGTAACGCGAATGTCGTGTGTGACTCACCGGAAGGGAAAAGAGATGTAGGTCATTGTTCATTCTCGAGCAGAAGCCAGTGAGGCACAGAGCGACGTGTCTTGTGCTGGTAGGTAGGTAAAGAGTAGGGGCCCAATAAGCTCCCACTCGCGTGCTCAGTATATGTTAAATGGGTGAAAGGCTTTGACAGGTCTTTTCCTTTCACTATTCGTTTCTTCAGCCATACAATATATTACCATACAATTATTATCTTTATTGGAGCAGCTTTATACATACACGTGACACTGTAACAAAGCTCATTCTTGCTTACTTTTAGCTCTGACTGAGCATAGCGTTCTGAAAATCTTAACTACAACAACAATACTTACAATCGCAGCAGCAAAGACAACAAGCAAGAGATCAATCAGGTAATATTGCAGGAAAGAAAGTTGTCGCCCATAAGGGTCTAGATTTGGCAGACGTCCGAATCTGAAGCAAAATAACGGTATGACTGGGAAGCCTTGTAATTCGTTCCTAATAATCATAGTATGCCTTCACGATACTGTTGATTCACTCTGTAAAATTGCCTACTGATAGGCTGCTCCCTAAACTCTAAGGACATTGTTAAAATTTAGAACCTATTAATGCGGGTGCCTTGTGCTGCTCTGCTAACTTTATTTTGTTGTTATGGAAGCATTGCAGTGGTCAGTGGCGGCAGTCACGCAAGATAGACAATCTACACAGAGGAAGGGAGTACCCATTGGACCCTTCGAAACAACTAACCAGTACCATGAGAGATGCTTGTCTGGTCTTCTTCTTCTTTCTAGTGTCAGTCCCGCTCCAGTCCGCTGTTCTTGTTAAAAGTCGCCCCTTGCTTGCATCTTCTGCCGCTGCGTTCACTTCAGTGAGATCCTTCTTGATGACGTCCCTGCATCTTTTCATTGGGACTTTTCGTGGTCGCTTGACCTGTACTTCTCATTTCAACGCCTTCGATGTTGGGTGGTCTTTAGACCTTTCCGGTACATAGCATCACAGTCGCTGCTCTCTGCCTTCAGCTGGATCGGAGCCGTCTGTGTGACCGCTCTGACGTCCTCGTTTCTGACTCTGTCGAGTCGTGTCCAACCGCAGGCCCATCTCAGCATCCTCATTTCAGCTGAGTGGAGCTGCCTTTCATGGTTCTTGCAGATGGGCCAGCACTCACTGCCGTATTGTAGGCCTTACCACCGCCCGGTACACCTTGCCCTTGAGCATTCTCGAGCACGGTCGCAGAGGATGCCTGTGGACGAAGCGGAGAAGTTGATCCGGTAGATCGACATAATACACTGGCGACAACCCACCACACGTAGCCCAAGAAGGTACCATTAATTGTATGGTGGTTGTGAATAATTTCGACCATTTTGGTGCGTTATTGGGTGTCTTTTACCTAGAAGTCACAAGAAAGTTGTTTTCTGAGGTGAAAAAGCTAAATTGAGATTGGAGAATCTAGGACTGTGCTATGTATGCCTATGCTCGATGTATTTATGCGGCCTGACAGTATGAGATCGAAATCGAATCTCGTGCAAATATTTAGAGCGAAGATATGATGTTTCACAAGATTGCTGATGCTTTTAGACTTCCAGCGTCGGCAGAGCGCAAGTATTTATGAATGGTTTGCGACTCATGTATAAGCACCACCATAGTTCGCGTAAAGCTTAACTAGCTATTGCGCTATCCCTCTTAACACCCCTGGTATCACTGCAAACGTCCTGGACTTCCCACGTGGCAGCCAGGCTTGAAGTCATCACTGTGTTAGCAGTGGAAGCTTACAGGGAACATCCGTGGCTTCTGAACCTATAACCAGCTAGGCACTAGCAATCGTTGAACTTCACTGTATTCTCAGCTACGATGGATATCGGAATGAAACTGGAAACAGTCCAGTAAAAATACCAGCTTATAGTCAACATTGACCAATCAAGGAGGGGTCGGTGACGAGGTAGCTGAGCACGCTCCAGTCGCTGATTTAGAATGGTTATCGGTAGTGCCGATTAGGAAAAGACAACCACTGGTGAAAGCCGTTGGATTCAAGTCAATCCCCGGACTTACTGCTGCGACGAATGCAAAAAAGGTAGTGGACAATTTAGGACAGTTTAGCTTATTACGCGTGCCATATTATGCTTCATAGTGAAATTTTTCAATGAGCGTGAGCGTGATTGTATTGAATTGACAGTTGCTGTTCTTATATAGCAGTATTCAATGACGATGCGTTAATGAAGCAACTTGCTGATGAGAAGTTCGATGTTGGGATCACGGAGACCGTCATGATCTGTGGACTAGGTGAATCTCGATTCCTACTATAGTATAATCAATGGCCTAGCAAACACTTGACACATTCTGTTTTCAGGAATTTTCGAACAATTTGAAGATCCCTGCTTCTATCGCCACATTCTCTGCAGTGATGCGGCATAGCTTTCAAAAGAATCGTGAACATAATCTAAGCTAATGTACCTCGGTACTTTTCATTATGTCATGTCATAAAAAGCTAACCACATTTAAATGCACCCTTAGGAAGTATTCATGGAGTATTGCGTCTTTTATTTGATTCGCTACTGTAGTGGTTCAACCCTTCAAAGGAAACAGAAATATATTGATTATTGCCAGACAAATTTAAGAAGGGAAATAGTCTAGTGAGAAAAGACCTATAGTGTATTTGTGTCTTGTGAGGTCCTGCTTTACTGACCTCAAAAACTTTTGCAAAATGTGAGGGGGCCTGGATGTTTGGCCCTCAAAGGAAGAAAACACAGCTGAACAGGGGGAAAGAAAAAAAGATTATGGAACCTTCCGATCTCTTCATGATTTGTGTTAGATGAATGCCACAAGGCAAAATTAACATTCCGAATCCTTTTTACGATTCCTGGAAAAAAGGCGTGAGGTGCATCTGGAAGGGGACTAAAATGAAAAGGCATTTTTTTCTAGTCGTTTCACCAGTACCATACCTTGTCCATTCAGGTCCGATGCCACCAGGTGCACGTGACAACATGACATTTACGAACGATTCAAAAACGTGGTCAGCGTAGTGCTAGCAGAGGCTTTCTACAGCAATGTCTTCGCTGCTGAAATCGCGGCTTTTAGAGCGAAGTTCGGACCACAGTTTAAAGGCTATTGAGCGAATGGTCCGGCCATCAGTTCAGCCTTCATCTATGTGAAGATAGGACTGGCTCTTACCTTCGAAACACACTCCTGAGCAAGAGCTGTGAGGGCCGCAGCTCGGCCACAGAGGGGTCAGACATTTCGTTTTTCACCAGTTCCGTTCACAAGTCCCACCTGGTGATGCCTCGTGAACCCTTTTGGAGAGCCAGCCGTCAAGCCTTCATGTAGAACTTGACAACTAGAGAACCATTGCTACTAAATGTAGCAAAAGTGCGAGAATGACCCTCATCGGCGTGCGTCCGAACTGCCGTTGATGAGTATGGCGTTCTAAGCAAAGGCAAAAAATAAAGACAAGAAGATAAAGACAAATTGCTGCACTTCGCTGGGCGTCTTGCCATGAGCGAGTGAATTAAGTCTGTATCTGCCCAGCAACGCCCTCAACTAGCTAAAGTTGCACCATAAACCGAGGCCACGAGTAGTGATAAAGTCTCGCAATTCTCCCACTCTGTCCTCAAGGCGCGGCACTTGCGGTTAGGAGTGTGACCAGCCGTGCAGCGGCGCGGGCGGAGTTGGGAAGCGGCACCTGGCATCACTACCTTTTTGCCAAACTCACTATCCTTTTCTTCTTCCACTAAGAATTTGACTGTAGCTTAAAATAGTTTCTACCTATCTAGGCGGAGACAATCATATCTTGGTATCTTTCTTCTGTGAAACATTGAACAGACAGCAGCGAATTCTAACATTTCGATTCAGGAGTTATTAGCTGACGCCTCTTATGCGTTTACAAATTCGAATCCCTACCTTGATTATCCACGTCCAATGCTTCACAAAACGATCCCGATCGGGGGAATCGCCGTATCGTTCGATCCCAAAAAGAACGCTTTATCAAAGGTACCTCTCAAATCTGAGAATGTTTTCAGAAACGCGGGACTGTTTTGCAGGAATGGGACATCATCATGGACCAGAGAAACTCTACAGTTCTGGTATCTTTTGGATCAATGGCAAAATCTGTCCTCATGCCAGATGAATACAAGTAGGTCATTTGGTTTTAACCTTAACGCTCCCTCACGACGAACGGTATTAGCGTGCATGGAGGAGCGAAGCAGAACCAGATTCTAGTGCATTTCCTTTTAAGCTTAGCAAAATCTGACCGTGACTATGTACTTGGGACAGTCGATTATAAAATTTGTGTTGTAATGCAAAACAAAGCAAAACATTATCACCACCTTCACTGTCCACGTTCCTTCCTGCCTTCTCATCAGCTACTTCTTTATTAGGTCAACCATGGCTGCAGATGCGCCATGCCTAAATTTGTCGTAGGCTAACTTTCGCCCGTAGTAGATTTGTTAAAGTATTTGTTTCACTTTTTTCACAAGATCAGAAGCATTTAGAAAGACTCTCCTCGAGGTATTCGAAAACATGCCACAATACGACTTTTATTTGGAAGTTCGAAGAAGAAGATTCAAAATTGGCGGCTCACCTCGATAATGTTTACCTCAGCTCGTGGGTACCTCAAAACGCTCTTCTAGGTGAGTACATGACTTGGAAATACCAAAGATAAGCGATAGAGCGTGAATGAAAGGGGATTTCCAGCGGATCCTCGTCTTTCTGTCTTCATTACTCATGGAGGTCTAGGCAGCACGACGGAGCTTGCTCATATGGGAAAGCCAGCATTGCTTGTAAGTTGTTTTGATAAAATTCAACCTCCCCCACCCATGATTTTCCTGCCTCTGCTACCTATAATTTCTTGTATTTTGAGATTCCTCTCTTTTCTGATCAAACTCGCAATGCGCATATGTTGGCAAAGCATGGCGGAGGTATTGTTTTGAAGAAGAGCGATCTCGAGAGTCCACGGAAACTCGCAGATTCCTTGAAGACTCTTCTTAGTGATGCCAGGTTTTGTTTCCCTTTATAATCTCCCACAAATTCTGTTGAGACTATAACTATATTGACTCTTATTATTAAGTGGACGCAAAGCCGCGTGCTGAGTAAATAAATAAGATGCTGTCTGACACTACAAAATGTTCCTGATTTCAGCTTTTCGCGGAATGCCAAACGATTGGCCGAGATGCTTCTTAACCAACCGATCAGCGCAAAACAACTTTTCATCCAACATAGTGAATTTGCTGCCAGGTAAGTTAAATGTGGAAGAAGAAACAAACCCATTTTAACGAATGCAACAACTCATCTATTTCCCCCCAACGACTTCATGAAACCCTCTCCACTAAGAATATTAACTGGCCGTCCCCCACAAATCCTATCCGCAGCCTCATCGTGGCGTGGGGGTGAACGGTTTTGGACTGTTCCAAAAACGTACCAATGCGGAGGGTGCCACGTCAACGTTTCGAGCTTACGCGGTGCGTTTAAACTTCTTCTCGCCGAAAACAGTAACAGTTGTGAGCCTCATTCCTCTGAACCTGAGGGAACCACCGACAGGGCGACGTCGGCTGGGACCGCTGGCGAGGCTGCTGGATTATAAGCAAAGGAGATTCAAGTCGCGGACTAGGATGGCGATCTGTACTTTCAACGCACGGACGCTTGCAAAAGCTCACATCGAAGATCTGATGTTGCAGGCCAGGAACTAATCAAGTACGACGTCACACTGAGCCGAAGACGAGGAGGCATCGCCGTACACGCCCGTGTGTACGAGACTGGAGAAGAACTGTTCCTCGGAACATGCGACAGCAGAGGCGTTGGCGGTGTGGGCGTCCTCGTCAACACGCACTTGGCCATGAACATCGATTCGTACGAAAATCTGACGACCCGAAATCGGACGTTGCCAGATAGAGAAATATGTTGGTTTCAACTGCAGCTTTCGACAGTACTGCCGTCGCTACGCACCAACATCAAGCTACGACGAGGATGAGCTCGAAGCGTTCTATATGGAATTGGAGAAGTTCTACAAGGAAGATCATACCTTCTTCAAGGTCATCGTCGGTGATTTCAACGCTAAGATCGGACCAAGAAGAACGGCTGAAGAACTTCACATCGGAACTCACGGAACGGAGTGGAATGAGCAGGGTGAAAGGCTGTCTGAGTTTATCATGTCGACCATAGCTGCGGTCTGCAATCTAACGAAGACGATGTTCGATGAAAAAGATTGGTTTCTGATGCCTCATTCACGCTCAACGGAACGAGCTATGTGTACCTGGGTCGTGAAATCAATATGATGAACGACTTAGCACCAGATCTAAGCAGGAGGAAGCGAGCGGCCCTTTAAGAACATCGAGGGAGTAGCGAAGAAGACGAAGAACAGCAAGCTCCGTGCCCACCTCTTCGATTCGCAGGTCCTCTGCGTTGACGTCGCCACTCAGAGACTTGGACCTACGAAAGCAGGATGAACATGCGGTCGGCGTTATTCAACGCGCCATCGAAAGGGCGATGCTCGGAGTTTCCCGCTACACGCAAGTGAGAGAGGGAATCCGGAGCTCCGCACTCCGCCGACGATCGAAGATCAGAGACGCCGCCGCATTTGCCAAGTCTGAAGATCAAGGGTTGGGCCGGACACGTCATGCGTTTCGAGGACTGGACCAGAGCGATCACCGACTGGATTCCACGGGATGTCAAGCGAACGCCTGGACGACCGCCTATGCGATGGTCAGACTTCTTCGTGAAAGCTCTGAACGAATGGTATGAAGTTCATCGTGTCCCTCGAGCAGAGAGAGTTCATTGGGCAACTCTTGCACGTTGCAGGGACGAATGGAGACGTTACTGGCGCCCGCTCGAGGAACTCGATGATCAACGGGAGCACAGGTGATACAGGTGATACACTGCGAACCATAATCATAGCTTCCACCATAATCTCACAAACACCCGTCTAACGACATCTCAAATGCCCCATACAGCAAAATGGGTAAATCCATAAACCAACTCGCATGCAACCACGACACTTCTAGCCTGAAAAAACAATTTTTTTCGTCAACTTTTTTCAAAATTGACGAAAAAAAAAAATTTCGAAAATTTTTTTCAAATGATCCTTCTGACAACGCAGCAAAAGTATAGTTCCACCGCATATTTTCCGGCTGCATCTCATTTTTGTTCGGTGAAACTTCTCATCATTATGACTTCTTGCCTCTTCTAGGCTATGGCAAGTGGAACTTCATTAATGGACCTCGAAAAGGACAGATTATCGCAAAGAAGACTCAAAAACTGGTGAAGCGTCGGTCGCTCTGGATTCGGGCCGCACTTCATCATTCTATCAACAATTTTTCCCAAGGGGCCTACACAATATTGAGCTAAGAAGAGGACACCGTCCTTTGCTGCCCTGTTGGAATAACCGCCGTATCCTAAGGAAAGCATCCAGCTCTGCAATGTCGTGTTGGGAAATCAAGTCATCTTCGCAGGTTAATGTCTCGGAGGATACTGTTAGGCGTCTATTGAAAAACTCCCGAGTTCACTCATAAAGGGAATATGAGTTG